TCTGGTCCATCCAGTCCACAGAGGCCTAGAAAACTGTTTCTATGACTCCACAGGTCTCTGTGACTGGGGCTTAATCTAGGCTTGGGGGTCCCCAGGCCCCTTCACTTTCAGGGCATCCCTCCAGGTTCGGAGGAGCCACTCACGCCCTCCAAAGGAGGCAGGGGAGGGACGGAGCAGAGGCTTTGGCCTCTGCCCCTGCTAGCTGGGTGAACTGGGACGATCTCTCTGAGCCTCCCTTTTCTCATCTACAAAGTGGGCCAACAACATCCACGTCACAGTGTGCTGTGAGTGTGCCCCAGCCAAGCGCCAGCACACCGCCAGGCCTCAAGGGACAATAGGGTACATGTGCGCTCCATGTAGCTGGGTGTTTTTTGGAGACAGGGTCTCGCTCTGCCGCCTGGACCACAGAGCAGCTGGATTTGATGCCCACAGAAGCTACTGCTCGCCCTGTGGCACAGAAGCAGAAGCTGAGGCCCGGAGACAGGCAGCGAGGGGCCCAGGTGGCACAGGTAGTATGTGGCAGTACAGAGATTCTAACCCACATTGGCCGAACTCCAGAGGGGCGTCCTAGGCTGTCTGAAGGCAGGCGGAGGCTTCAGCACTAACAGTCTCCCATGAGAGGGCTTGCAGGCTGGTGCAGAGGTGTGGCGGGAAGATCCTTGGCTGTAGGTGACACCCAAATTAGGAGCTTCCCAGGACATGTGCCTGCTGATGCTAAACAGGCTGGCAGTAGGAGCGGGGCTGCTTCCTTCTCCTGGGGCCTCTGGCTCCAGTGGGGTGGGGGATTAGGGGCTGCAAGGGGAGTGTTTACATAGCACCTTTGATTAGCACTCTCATGTCAGAGGGGCTGGCGGGAAATGAGGGCACTGAGGCTGGGGGGTCGGGGAAGTGCCCAGCACCCTGACTTGGCCTGAGGAGGCAGGCAGGGCCTTGCAGGGAAGGCTGAGGCCTGGGCCGGGCCGGAGCCCAAGCGGGTGCTGCCCTGTCCCGCTTGCCCCCACCCAGCCAGGGCTTGAACTCTCACCTCTGCTCCGGTGGGGCTGCCTCAAGGCCTCATTTCCCAGCCTTACACTTTTGGTAGGCTCGGGCCAGGGGAGCAGGAGCCACTGGCCTGGCACTTGTCAAAACACAGGCCCCAGAAGTGTGAAGGCCTTGCCCCAGCAGGAGGGCCTGTAGGCCCTGCTGCCCGGAGAACTCATTAACTCAGGCAGCTCCCAAATGAACCCACTGGAGAGGCTGGCCGAGATAAGGGGATCAAAGGGGGGAGACACGCATGGAGAAGAGGGGAGACAGAGGCTGGCTGGTGGGAGGTGGTAGGGCCCAGGCTCCAGGCTGGGGGTGCTACCCATCCCCCTACTGGCCATTGCCCTTGCAGCAGCTGGCCACCCCCCCCCCATAATTTCCCAGAGACCCTAGGGGCAACAGGAGAGGGTGGACTCCACAAGTCACCTGCAATTTGTCAGCCTTGAGGGCTGAAGACCCCAGGCTCCGGCAGGAGTAGGGCCCTCCCATTAGCCCCATCCCCACTGCCCCACTGCCCCGCCTCTCTCTTGCCACCTTTGTGGCTTCTTGGCCTCCACACTTGCCCCTGTGTGTTTTCAACCCTCCCTCAGCTCTGACACCAAAGCTCTTCCTGGCATGCACCGCTCATGGTGCCCCTCTCCTGCTCCGAATCTCTCAGTGGCTCCCACGGGCTGGATTAATGGTAACCAATAGGTTTGCTGTCTGAGCATTCCTAGGGACTGTCTTTTCAACCTAACAAGTGTGCCTCCCACACATACGGCCTCTTGTCCAAATATGTCTAGTTGATTTTGTCCTTAATACAATGCTAATGTATTTTGCAGCGCTGCTGACAAGAAGCAGGGACGGTGCTGGCCTCGGAGCAGGCAACTGGAAGTCTCAAGGCAGGAGAGTAAAGAGATTTGTTACACCCCTGTGGGCCTTTTGACTCTTTCGCCACGTGCATGTATTATATTTTCAAGTAAACAAGGACATGACAATAAAACAAGAGCTTTTGGTCATTCTGAGTTTTCTTCATTATTAGCTACTAAGTGAAATCACAATCTATATGGGAATCGAGGGCTTTTTTGACATTCACGAGGTTGGCAGTCCCTGGAAAACGGTGCCCAGAGCCTTCCGAGACCCACGGCTCCTGCCTGCCTGGCCTTTTCTCTGCCCCCTGTCCCTCCCCAGTACTCCACACACTCTACCAATCCCCAACACTTGTCCCCTCGGGCCTAGCGGCATCAGAGAGGCCAAAATCACTGGGCTCCCATGCCAGGTTCTTGGCTTGGGTCTGGAGCCCTGGGAAGGTATCCGGCCACCAAGGTCCAGAAGGGTGGGCCCTGCAACAGCTCCAGGGTGAGGAGAAGCTTCTGGAGCCAGGCTCTCCCTGGGAGTAGAGGAGTCCTAGGGTGCGTGCCCAAGGAGTAGTTCCTCCCCTTCTCCCCACACCAGGGTGGGGTTGGCACTGCTTCTCCTGGACATGACCATGAGCAAAGGCATTCTGGGGCTGCTGGGACAGACAGAAGGGGGTATAGAAGGTGCTATAGGTGGCCAAGGGCAGTAGGAGATAAAAAAAAAAAAAAAGACAGTGGAGGGGCTGGGGGGCAGAGATGCCCAGGGAAAGGGTGCTGAGCCACTTGGCCTTCATTGCCAGCTCACTCACCAGTCTCACAGGGCAGGAGGGGATACAAAACATCAGACCCCTGGCACTGAAAGAGACCATTCAGCCTGAAGGAGAAACAGGTAGACACATGATGCCTGACACCAGGTACTTCACAGTCTAGCTGAGAGTAGATAACCACCATGCACGACGTGTGTGCAAACTCAATGCCCTGGGGGCCAGGCAATGTAGATTCTTTTGAGATTTTCTGTGTGGACAATCATGGATGTAAACAGAGACAGTCTGGTTCCTGCCTTTCTAACCTGTATGCCTTTTATTTCTCTTTCCTTGCTGCACAGCCTAGACTCTCCACCCAGGAAAAGGTTGAGTAGGGGTGGTGCGGGCAGGCGTCCCCGCCTCGTGTCTGGCATTAGCAGGGAAGCCTTCCGTCTTTCGATCTTCAGTGTGGTGCCGCCTGTGGGGTCTTCGTAGCTGCCTTCCATCAGGTTGAGGAAATTCCTCTCTACTCCTAGTTTGCTGAGAATTTTTATCATGAAGGGGTGTTGAATTTTGTCAAACACTCTGTCATTTTCACTCACATTTCACTGGCAAAACCTGTTACCCCTCTCCAAAAGTGGCAGGACAGCAGTTAGAGGCCGGTGGTGGCAGCCGTGGCGACAGGCCTAGCCCTAGACTCTGCCAAGCTGGGGGTGTGGGCGGGAGCCAGACTCATCCCTCCCTCTGCTCAGATGGTCCAGCAACCTGATCAGATTCGGCCAGCTTGCCGGATTTGCCCGGGACAGATTCCTCACAGTGCACACCCCACCCTACCCCACCAAGGAAGGGCCCACCCAGTGCCAGCCTGCCTCAGAAGAGCAATGGTTCACTGGTCTCCCCACCTTTAGAAGGAGTCAGGGCCCCGCTCCCGGTCCCTACTCTATTCCACACTCCAGGATGACGCATGCCCCGATGCTTTCCTTATACAAATTGGAAGCAAGAAAATTAATAATTTGCATAAAGTCTCCAACAGGTGAAGGTGGACCCCAAACCTATCTTTGACCTCCGCTTCCTTTAACCTGCAGGGCGGGCCACGAGGGGCAGGCGGGAGGCCGGAGCGGCTGGCTCAGGCGCCCAAGCGAGCGCCCAGGTGGGGCGAAGCAGGCGCAGCCAAGGGGCTGGCACCTTCGCCCCCTTTGATTCAAAGCGTCAGGCCTCGTCCTCTGCAGGCCCCGAGCCCACTGCTGCGCCGAATCTGACCAGGTTGCTGGACCATCTGAGCAGAGGGAGGGATGAGTCTGGCTCCCGCCCACACCCGCGCCTTGGCAGAGTCTAGGGCTAGGCCTGTCGCCACGGCTGCCACCACCGGCCTCTAACTGCTGTCCTGCCACTTTTGGAGAGGGGTAACAGGTTTTGCCAGTGAAACTGTGAGTGAAAATGACAGAGTGTTGGACAAAATTCAACACCCCTTCATGATACAAATTCT